TGGCTCGCTGAACTCAGCCACCGATTTAGGGTTTTTTTACTGCCCAGACTATTTATAAGAGAGTTTGCTGTTAATCGAATCTGACTTAGCATCTTACCACGCGTAACATACTACTGACTCCTGTTGTTATACAGTTGCTTATGCGCAGCTGTGAGTACCAACTTTGTATTCTTATTCTTTTTACGATAGCGCTAAGTTTTTAATGAAAGGGCTCATTGGGCATTAAATATACAATTTATTTATTAATCATTGGTTTTGAAATACGCGTGACTCCGAGAAGTCAAGAAAACAAAACACTCCTTATATACGGCTCTATAAATCGACATTGTGAACGGAAGCACTCGACCTGCCTGCTTATTTCTACCATGTAAATGACCGGAAAACGTCATGACTTTGAACGTTATCATCGGGCGACAACGAGCGAGCAGCAGACGCTACTTTACTGGAATTGTGGTCTAGTTTGGCGCCAATAAGGACGGTTGCAGATTAGCAACTGGTTCTAATAGGGATAGAGTGACCCTTGAAAATGCAGCCATGCTTTCTTTCCCTGAAAATAGACACTTAGGCATAGAACAGTTAAGGTACTAGTTTCCAGCGGACGCATAATTGAGGAATAAAATGCAAATAATCTGATTGAAAAACAATATCATAGCGAAGTCCTGAAAACTACTTTTCTAAGGGTTTATGTGGGAGGGTGGTGTTGTTCGTGTCGCAACTAGTTACTGTCACTTCAAAGATATAATTACAAATTAGTTTTTTTTGACTCTCGAATGAGCAATTGCCTGACAGCAGGGAAAGGAAGCAAAAACATATATTTCAGGATCCCTTTTTTGTTTGTTACCAAGACGACTTGCTTGTCTTAATATAGGTGGTTTATGTGATGTCTCCACTTACCCACCAATCCTGGTAACCGCATCAGCTCTGTCACTACTCCAACCACAGTGGCAAAGGCGTAGAAGATGAGGATGTTTAGCGTTTTTCCACCCTCACAGAACGCCACCGGCTTCGCCTTTTTCGCTGCACTCAATCCTGCATGGACCGCCGCCGTAGCATTTCGTTTATACTCGAAGCACATTGGCGGCAGGGCCTCTTTCCCCGTAAAGATCAAAAGGTTGACGTAAATTAAAAGCCAGAAGAGGACGTGGGCCAGCGGGCCAGCCGTCATTTCATAGATGCACGAGAGGACTCGAACTACTGCCGGGGGAAGGTCGCAACAGGGAGAACGGCGACAACAGCCGTGGCCGCTCTTGTCGCCGTCAAGGTCAGTTTCAAGGTCATTCACTGCGCCCGCTGGGGAAGCGTTGGCTAGAGTATTGGCTCGCCATGACACTGAAGGACGACTGGAGCTCGCGTTCGACCTGGTTTGATTGTGTGTACTGTTCAGGAGTAGACCTTCCGGTAGGGTGGGGAGGCCATGACCAACTCCATGGTGTTGCTGTGAGGCGGTGAGGGGTTTCTGATCGGTCGGCGGGTTTTCAACTTTGGAATCACGAAGTAAGCCACCGGGGTCGTCGCCCTCCTCTAACCGGTTCACAGAGTTAGGAGTTGTCATTGTGGATGTTAATCAGAAATCGAGTATTCCTCCCTCTATAGATAGAGAAGTAAAAGCGAGGTAAACAACTCAGTCGTTAGGAAGGGCAACATGAGTAATAATGCAATAAGAACTCGCGAATCGGTTCATTGCTACACTGACTACCGTCAGTATTATTTCCCAAAGGTTCCACCTACTTTCTATCCTCACAGGCTTTCTGTTCACAAAAATGGGAGGTTTGTTGTACAAAAAGAAATTTAATTAACCATCTACGTAAAGTCGAAGTCGGATTCATAGGCCGTTATTGGGAAGAAGCCAATTTGATAGCCGGTGCAAGAAATTTGTCGTGGATCCATCATCAGAGGCAATAGCAGAAACAGGAAATTCATATTCTGGGAGTTATAGTTTTTATATTGTACAGTCGTTATTCCACTGCATACTTATTGCTAGGCGGACATGCGAGCCTCAGGAATTAATTGAGAAGAATATTCGAACGCGATTGAATCTTCTTCTTCTTCTGCTTCTTCACAACTGAATAATTAGGATAATTAACGGTGCCACCTATCATCCCACGTGGTGGACATCAACGGGATGAATGCTGGGTGGTTTGGCTCCCTGGTGTTGGCTTTATATGACCCGTTGGCTTGTACGTTCCCTGGGTGGCGGATGCTTTTCAACAAATTTAACTTCAGCACCGAATATAGACTGGGCAGGTCGTTGAACTTGTGTTTAGACTTGGGGCCCTTGCATCATGACTGAAGTAACCAGCGCACACACACACGATTGCCAACTCATGGAAGAATCTCAGCTTCTTCGCATTTGAATTTATTGCTGGGACTCGTCGAATGAGCCGCGTCTTGAGAAGTTACGTCATTTCTCCGTACATATGCCGCTTGTTTAGCAATTCTTGTCTTGAGATGTCTTCCAGTGTTTTCGAAGTGTTTGGTTTTTTCGCAACTGTAGGAGGCCCTGTAAAAAAATCAAGATCTTTCTTGCCGCCATTTTGGGTCTTTGATTTGCATTATCTGGTTTCCGTCGGTCCGTATTCGAATCCAGCTCCAAGTGGTGCAAGAAGGTGGCCGACGACCTCCGAGACCTTTTTGACATATGGAATCACTCACCGAAATGTATGGTCTGTGAAACTGTCGCTCATTTTGTTTGCGCATATACCGGTCGACGAAGGTCGTGTGTAGCTTGTTTTTCTGACATACTTTTGAAGCTATTGCATTTCAGCAATTTTGTCTTCCGGACAGGGCAGGAAAAATTTGGTGCAGTTGCGATTGAAGAAACTACTTCTGTGAAACCGGAAGACTTCTCAAGACTCGAATTGACCAACAGGGGACAGCCGTGCAGAGAAATGACGCAATAGGCGGCATAGTCGATGAGGCCCGGCCACACATCCAAATTTGGTGAGGCCGACATTCTCGCGAGATGGGACAATCTTGTGGGCCTTTATTCAAGTGCAGTCCATCTAAAAACAAATGCAACGACATGCATTATCCATATTAGGACATGCGGTCCATTTTGGTCAAAGCAATATGCCATGCGCGGAACCCATAGGCCAACCCGTCGACTCACACCGGGAAGCCGGATGGCCAAGCAGGCACCGAACCCAAGTCCGCCACGTGTGTCACGACCAAAACACCGGCCATCAGGCAGTTATTCGCGATAGGCGAGATGTTATTTGTCATGAGGATGCAGTGGCATAGTGACTGTAGCCTATAAATACCAACACTTACTGTGTATGAATTATCGGTTTCTGCTATTGTCTCTGATGATGGGTCCACGACGGATTGCGAGATGTTAGGCGGATAAGATTATTTTATCAACAATCACATCCGCTTCTTCTCAAAGGAACGGCTGTTTTGGTCATTATGCTTAACGCCTCAATAACCTCAATGATATTATAATCATTTATAATACGTTTACTTTTTTTATCTTCTCCGCCTTAAAACGGGCGGGAAAGAAATAAAAATTGACTGTCATTTGAAAGGTTACTAGGTAAATTAAATTGATTAATTTATGTTCAAATATGTAAACGGTGTTGGAACGTGGGATCAGATGGCCAAGCGGTTTGTGGCAGTCAGTTTTGCTATAAAAATTCCTAATGGACGCCAACTTTCGGAATAATCTGCCAGCATTCAGTTACACTTAAGGAATTTGCAATTGTCATCAAACGTTGTGCAGGTATGAAACGGAAATAGTGATAGGAAGTACTGACTTCTAGCAGGTAATCTGAAACTGCAGTATGCTCTGAAAACTGTTAAA